TATTATATAATTAATAAATTTATATTAATATTAATTAAATAAATTTTATTTATTTATTTTATTTAGTTAACTAGTTGAGGTTATATCAAAACACACTATTTTTTTTTTTTTAATGTTAAGTGAGGCATTTCTCATGATCTTTATTAATATAGTAAAATGAATTGTTACATGATTAATATTAAGATGTAAGATACATTGCTATACATGTCAGTCTACCACCTGATTAGTTATATCTCTAGAAAAAAACCCTTGAGCAAGGAAAAAAAAAACACACTATTTTTATTTATTTCATATATATATTTTTATATATTATAAAAATTACTATTTATAATTTAACCCAAGTACTCAAACTTCATAAAAATATTAAATATCTGGAAATACCCATTTCCTCCAAAGGTCTATTCAAGTCTAACAGAAAGGTTCTTAGCCAAACTATAGATACAATTCTAAAAGAACTCTCCAAACACAACTGAAAAGATAAGATTAAACAACAGATTTATAACTAGATTATTATGGGCAAGTTTAAATACTTCCTTTTCCTATCATATCTTAACAAGTTCACACTTAATATACTTTAATCCAAGATTAACAAACTTATTAAGATGGCCTATAAAATTATATCCAGATGCTCAAATGCAATTCTTATTAGCCACAGTAGCCTCAATATGACTTTTCTTGAAAAAAGACAAAAATCCTTACTGGTTAACAATCTAATATCCAAACTTTCTATGTCAGTAACCAGAAAATATATCTTCCAAGACCTGCATTCAATTCAAAAAAACAAATCAATCTAGTTTTGTCCAATTTGCAATCCAGAAAAGTTTAATTAAAATAACTGAATCACATATATAGCCAAGATTGCAAAAGATCTCAAAATTCAAATCTGTTTAACTGATTGCCTAACATATTTTAACAATGCTAAAAACTTTATTGACCTTTTATTTAAAAGTCTGTTTTTTCTTAACAAAACTATGGCAATTAATATAGCAAATGTCTTAAACATCAAATTTACTAACCAACTTTTGAAATACAACAGTATAAAAAACCTTTTGTGGCTTTAACTTATATCATATACAAAAATAGTGTATTGTGAGCTTAAGCCCAATTGGTTTAAAGATTTCAACAATTCAAACAATTTTCTTGAAACTTGCAGTCTAGTGCCAATCCCAAATCATTATTCTGATACTCACATAACTTTAACTGCATCATCAAAATATATAAGAGAAGTTATAGTATAAATGAAAGTACAAATCTTAAAGAAAAATACTATTCTATTAATTCAAATAATATTTATCCAGATGTAATAGTTGTTCACTAGGAATATCTTTTGCTGGCTTTTGCATATTGTCTTTTACAAGCCCTACAACATTTTTAATATGGATAGTTTTGAATTTCAACAGTTCAAACAAATATCAACTATACAACATAATTAACAAACTGTCTATTACACTATAATAAGAAAAAGACATTCTTCAATTTTCAATAATTTTTTTATTTTTCCTTATATCTTAATACTTCAAAGAATTAGTTTCTGCCAACAGTACTATCTTTAACTTCACCAAAACAAAATTTTCGTAAACAGTACAAAAATTGTTCCAGTTAATCCAGGATATCTCTTAAGAGACTTTCTTTATATAATAATGGATATTATATATTGGTGTCTATTAAACTATATCATAGAAATAAGAAACAACAAAAAAATTCTTTAAGAAATATTTAACTATTCAAAAAGAATGATGAAAATCAACTTTGTTCCAATAATATTAAAAATTAACAAACTAATATAAGACAAATTAATTCAAATCAGATATATCAATCCCAAATACAATTCAAGATCTGATTATATTCTTCAATAGATCAATCTATCATTTTACTTTCTGAAAGTCCACTAATCAACAATCTTCAGTTAAATAGCAATATTAAATAGTGCAAAAAAATTTTAAGCATTATCAAGACCTATATAATCTATAAAAGCTCTTCAATTTTAAAAATATTTAGATATATATACAAACCCTACAGTCTTAAAATTATTAACAAATCTAACAAAAAAAATAAAAAGTTTCAAAGCTAACAAGTATAGTGATCTTATTGCCTTCAGAATCAAATTATTCTCAAAAACTTTTTCTATAAGAGAATATCTTTACAAATTATATTTAAAACAATATTCTAATCCATATTGTCTTTAATATAGTCTATATACTGAGGATATTCAATATGTTTTCAAATACTTATCAGTATCAGGAAATATTAATCAACTTATTAATACTATTTACAATATTTTTTATCTTGACAATGACCACAAGCCAATTTTATATAACTGGCAATTAACAGAACTGACATGTAGCATTATTAGTATCTTTTTTATAACCAACTTCTTTAACTGGGTTGAAGCCTTAATCAAAAATCTAGCCTATCTATACAAATCAATCTGGATATACTGCTATGCTATAATAAATACTTTTCTCTTCACTGATATCAAATGGAACAATAATTTTTATAGCAACATATCAAAACAAGCAACCAAAAACTCAGTCAAATCCAAATCTTCCAATAACTTCTCTACTTCAACATTAATCATTATAGACATATATACCATAGTTGCTAACTCTTATATTCAAAGTGGATTCAATTTTATTAAATGTATTTTCAAATTAATTATAGATTATCTTAATTTCCTTCCATCCAATGCTGAATAAGTAATTATAGCTGCTTGGAGTCTCTTGATAAGATATATTGTTTTAAAATTTCTTTTTAATATTAGTTTAGGAGTTGTTATGGAAAAGCTAGCATTTAACTTGTACTATTACATATGAAAGATTTTGTTTCTTTTATAATGTATATTTATCATTATACAAATTAAATAAAGAAATGTTATTTACCTACAAAAAAAAAATTACTATTTATAAATTAACTATACATTACTTAACCATATCAATTTTAATTCATATCAGTTTATTATTATTAGTGTAACCTATAGAGGATATATATTGAGGTTAATATATCAAAGCCTTGTTAGTATTACTATTATATATTATATTAATCAGTTCTATTTTAATTTTTATATAGAATTAAAAGAAAATTAAAATATAAAACACTGGGGTGATATTTATTTTTAACAAATAAAATACTATAGAAAACTTGTTAGATTTGTATTATAATATTTTCTAGGATATCAATATAATAATTAAAACTTATTATCTATAGACTAAAAATGGATCCTTAAATTGTTTAACATAAAATTTACAGATAACTTATATTCCTTTTGAAGGGAACATAACTATTTACTTATTATTTTAATAAGAATAAAACTTAAAAAATACTTGAATTCAGTGACTTAAATTACAAAAAAATTTTATAGGTAGTTTTTTTTTATTATATTTGTAAAAAAACTTTTTTAATAATAAGAAACATTTAAGTTATATCCTTGTTCTTAGTTTAGGGACCTATTTTTACTATAAACTTATTACAATTTGTTTTACTAAAACAGACAGCTGTTAATGTGATTTTAGAACAAATTTTTATAATAATTTATAGAAAGAGATATTAAATATTATAAGAAATAATTACTTAACCAATTTGCTTGAAACCAGATATCTTCAATAACTTTTTTGACATATTCTGACAATTATCATATCACCAATCAGACAATTGTCTCCATATAGTTGGATTTAAAAGTATACAGTATATGTAAGCTATTACTATAAATAATCAATAGACAATATTAAGCTACTTATAAAATATATTTAAAAAACATATCCAGGTTATAATGATTCCACTTGTAAAAGACTGCACATTTACCTTAAAATAAATAAATAAACACATAATGATAATCCATATTTAGATAAAAGATGAACAATTAGATAGGATTCTGCCAAATTAACACACCTTTTGAGGAGAAATATATCCAAACATTGCAACAAGAGTAAAAGGAAAGCGATTAACTCGCCATGTTTCCATCATAACATAATAGTATTAAAATTTAAATAAAATCATATATTAATTAATTATTATTAGATTCAATATTAAAGAAGTCAATTTTATTAAAAATCTGCGATAGAAAAAAAAAAGAATTATATGGAGGTATATGGATTTTGGGTATGCCAAGAATAGAATCCATGATTCATTAAGGAATATAACTAATAAATTGAAGTTCTCGATAATCGGTTTATTTTTATCAAGGATAAATTAAGGAAGTTCGAGTTGTAAATAAAAAATCTTAGAAAAAATTATACGATAAATCTTATAAGTTTCTGCGAAGAATAATAATAAAAATTCTCAACACAAAAGTCCAAGGAACCAAATATACGTAATATTCAAACACCCAAGGAAGAAGGTTGACAAGTTTATCCTTGCCGAGATAAGAATCTAAGCCTTTTCATCTCCCATCTAGACACATCAACACTACAGAATCAGAATATTCTCAAGGGAAACTTGTCTACACTGATAAGACCAAAATTTTTGTAAGAGAGAGAAGAGAATGAATAAGGTGCAGTCGGAGGCGCAGAGATATTTATATCTCGTGAGAGACACGTACAAACACGAACGCGTAAAGCGCGTCACGTATTACGTTTAATCTCGTGACTTGTGGTAAACGCATTTTTTTTTTTGCTGAATAACTATAGAAAGGAGTTAAATATATTAAGTCGGATAGATCATCAGTAAAAAGAGATGAAATTTGTCTCCAATATTAAAAATTCAACTTAAAACTCGTTCATATATGATTACTTCTTTTGCTGAAAGCTTTAATAACGAAACATTACTGCGAATCATATTACATGCATCATCGAAAGTTATCGCAAGTTTCTTTGATAATCCAAACGTATTTAATCACCACTCGCCGGGTACCTTATATGTCAATGAATATTGAACAATCTAAACTACAATAAAAAGGTCGACGTTCAAGAAAAATGAATGAATTTTTAAATACATACATATTCCAATAAAAATGCTAAAATTAGAATCATCATGTAAAGAAATCACTTAAATCCGAACTGACGAATTTATACATTCGAATCGATTGATGGTTCAAAAGGATCAACTATTTTAAATTCGATTATGTCTGTTATCGCATCTAAATCAAAGTAAAATTTATTTCTCATAAGAAACTATAGAGGCCTGAAATCAATACAGGGAATCCTTACCTTTTACAGCTAGCGGGTCACAACCACCAAATTCTTTGCAAAACTAAATTCCCGCACAAACACCAAAAGTAAAAAATAAAAATAAATAATTTACATATAAAAAGGACCATAACAAGTTTTAAAACGATGATGTCGAACTATTAATAGATAAATGAATAAAACAACTTACCTCGGAGAATTGTGCTTGAAGGTCGATTCCGATTTTACAAGCAGTAATATATATAGCCGCAGTAGCAAATACGTCTGAACTGTATGATATAGTGATTTTTGTAGAACATAGACAATTAGAGATCATTGCCCAGACATCCTGTGTAAGTTTTAAATACAGGGTATAATCAAAGTTTATATTCCGCTCCAACTTTTCAATTAAAATTTTGAAAATTCGGGAGGCAGAATTATACGGAGTTTCTTTAGGCAACTCCCGTTCACGTTTAATTGCACTCTTAATGTTTGATACAACTATCTTGACAGTCTCTTTCATCTTTTCACCGTCTTCGAGAGGAGTTTTGGGATATTTCAGACTAAATTTCAATCCATGATCAAGAAATTAGTGTTCGTCACAAATAACAAAATGAGACCAAAAAAAGGCAGTAGATACCTCCAACCAGCGCTAAGAGTTTTCCGTATTCCTTTGAATATGTCAGTATTCTTTGTCACAAGGAGAATGCACGCTATCCCTGTAAGTTCCTCATCAAAATGCAAATGATCAGTATATCCCGTCAACCATCTATTTTTTCCTTGGCTAAGATAATTATGATAATTATGGTAGGTTCTCAATGCAAGTGCAATAGTTGTCATTGGTAATTGAAGACGAAGGCAACATTTAATAATAAAATCTATAATATCATTCCTAGCATTAACTATGGTGTTCGACCTAGGCTCAGATGGTGGAATTAGATCTCTAACAGGTTTGGGGGGTGGAGATTGAGACGGTAATCTCGGTCTGACTTCCTCCGCCCCCGCATTCACAACATTGAGATTCATATAGTTGGTAGTGGAAAGATTATCCGATGGTATATCCCCACTAACTTCATATTCTTGAGATTTAACGGTTGAAGGGGTCTGCGTATGTGATGGCATTTTATTCGGAGCCAAAGGATTCATCTCTAAAAAGTGCAATTGGTAAAATAAGAGAATATCAATTTCAACATCTTATATCTATCTTAGTAATAATATCGTACTCGTTGAATCAATTCTTTCGGAGCTAGCTGTACCAGAATTATGTTTAGAATCAATTAACTTCAAATCATTGTTACTCGTAGAATTTCTTGTTCGTTGCAGAGAATGACGGGTTCTATAAGGATCAGGACTAATTCGACGATTTCGTGGTGATCTCGAAACAAGACGCATAGGAGATCTAGATCTTCGATTTCGACGAGGTGACGGAGTACGCCTACGGGTTACTCGTTCAGTAGAGGGTGGTAAATGCGACCGAGTTATTCGTTTAGGTGGGGAGGGTGAACGACGATGGAATGATCGTGTGATAGGAGATGGGGAACGATGACGAGACTTTCGTGCCAGTAGTGTTGGTGAATGATTACGTGTTGTTTCTGATGGTGAACGGTTACGTGGTCTCCGAGAAGGTGAAGGCGTTCTTCTATATGACCTTCGTGGAGATCTAGATCTTCGGTGACCTGAACGTATGGGAGTAATCGATCTGTGTATTTGATTTGGTCTATAACTAGAATAACGAGGCATTTCTGCAACATTCAAAGAATAATAGAACCACCAGCAGAATAATTATGTGAAGTCGAGGTCGTAGCTAACTAGGACCATCAATTTAAATATTACGTCTCCGTAGCATGATAAACTGTCACGGGTATGATGGAAAATTCCGGAAAATACGTGTGTAACTATGAACCAGGTCCCGAACTTCACAAAAACCGAAAAATGTATTTTTTTTTCTCAAATAATAGCAATCATACATTCGTTTTGTTCCGGACAATATTCAAGCACTCCGGACCACTCTTTAACTGCCATAATATAGACAATATCTATTTAACCGTTTTCATTATTTGAAAAGAAATTCGCTTAACTTGCTTGTTATGCATCCATTCTACTTATACTGTTATATTATATAGTTGTATCTTGTATTATCATATTTTGTATTCTTTCAATTTATCTAAAGAATCTCCTGGTTCCATCTATAAGAGGTTTTCGCCAGTAATAATGATTCAAATAATTATGTTGCAATCTGCATACCTCAAATTTATCAGCCTTGCTTTACTCCTCTAGTTTTGGTATTAAAACAACCCATAAATACAGTTTGGAATAAACTAATCCAAATTTTTCAAAAAAAAATTTTTTTTATAATTTGTTAAGATAAAGACTTGTCTTGTGAATTTTATTAAAAGAATACATATTACATATTTATTATTAAGTTACAAGATATATTATATACATATTAGTTTACTACTTATTTTAGTAAATATATTGTATTTCTAAAAAATCTTGATATAAGAAAAAAAAAATAGTTACTTTGTATTGTTTATAATTGTGATTTGTAAGAGATTATTGCTATTTAAGTATATTACTGTTTATAAATATAGCAAGTTAAAGCATTTTATAAATATTTCTCTAGGAATATATCTACTATATAGGTGGTAAGCTAGTATGCATAGTAATACATCTCTAGATTTAGAAATTAATTATATATCAATAAAATTCATACTCAATTAATAAAATCACAAGCCTCACTTTAATTATTTTTAAAAAAAAATAATATAATTTCAAATTCTTTGGATTGTAAGCTTTTTTTATTTTAAATTATTTAATAATTATTATACTTTTAGTATTTTTTTTTTTAATTTGTTAAATTTGATTTTATAAGTATAATAATATTTATATTGTTGTGTTCTATTCATTCTTGTTAAAGAAGAATTTTACTTGAGTTAAATTTGAATTTTTTTATATAGGTAATAGTTAAAGTTCTAAACCAAATATTAAAATGATACCAACTTATAATAAAGTTAATATATGAATTGTAATATATTATTAAGGATCCTAATAATCCTCTTCAATTATATATTTGATTTTTAAGTTTATATTAAATTTAATAAATGGAGTATATCCTATCATCATTTAATTATATGTCAAGGTTATATTAAGTAGTTTTGATTATGATGTATTTGAAAAAATTTTAAAAAAATAGAATATTATATAGTTATAGAAGATAAATTTATTGAGTTGTTTGATTAAAATTTTATTATAACTTTTCTATCTATATTTGTAATTGCATGTTTTTTTTAAGGGTAGATTGAAAAATTTTAAAATTTGTTAAAGGATATTACTTATTGTTGTAATTCTTAAATATAATTTTTATTGTTTTTCTCAAAGGTTCTAAATTGGTCTTGTTGTTAGAAACTATATTTTTTAATATGATAATTTGAAGTTTTAATATTATTTAATTCATTTCATATTTTATAAATTCTATATTATATTTACAGTATTTTAAATAATATAAGCCTAGTAGATATCTTCTTCAATATAACTAAGTCTGTTATCCATGTATATAAGTATGGATTTAATTGTTTTAATTTCTTTTTTTAATTAATAAATTGCTTAAAGTATTATGTTTAAAAGTGGGTTTATATCTTGGATTAAGGATAGGTCCCTAAACTATTTAGCATATAAAATTTTGCAGATCAATTATGTCCCTTTTAAAGGAACATAATTATTTATTCATTACTTTAATAGGGACACAATTCAAAAAACACATTAATTAAGTGTTTTAAATTACAAAAAACCTTTGTAGGTAGTTTTTTTTTAACCTTATATTTAAAAAAAACTTTTTTAATAGTAAGGGACATTTGAATTATGTCCTTGTCTTTAATTTAGGTATCCATCTTTACCTACTTAGATTTATATGTAAAAAGACTATAAGAAGTAAAAAAGAAATAAAATACTAAACAAAGAAATAGATGCAAAAAGACTAATAATAAAGCTAAGGATGCTCTGAATAAGCATGCCATGCTGATAGTTCTATTTAACTGAAGTACAGTATATATGTACCTATTACAAATAGCCAGGCTACTGTCCAAAATATACAGTAGTATTAATGGTATATTTTTTTGATAGTTGGTTTGTTGTGATAATTGTGTTATTGTTTTGTTGACATAACCAGTAGTTGGTTTTTTTGTTAATAATATAATTGGTTTGTTTGTTGATAATGTGATTTTGTTTTGATTTTTATTGCCAAAAAAGGTTTTGTTTATATTGATCAGTATATGGTATTTTGGTAATACAGATTTGTTTGAATAATTGGTAGTGTTTGATTAGTTGGTTTTGAAATGTTGATAAATTGACAGGGGTAAATTGATTGCAGTTTTTTTGTGAATTTTGTGGCACAGCAAATTGTGTTAAGCAATAGTAATAAGTAAACAATGAATATATTGTTAGTCTTTCAAGTTAACAATATAAACCTTTTTAATGTGTAGTTTGATTTTTTGGTTTGCAAAGAAAATCTCCAAGAAAAAAATATAGTTATTTAATAAGAAATATGTATTTGTAAGAAATAAAAATGGAAAGAACCCATCAAAAATTATTCAAAAAAAACTTTCTTCTGATTACATCTGTTTTGTTAAAAATTTTCCTTTTATGATAATTTTAAGCAAGAAAAAATGTCTTATACTCTTTATCGCAAGTGAGCCCCAGCTCAGAAACTCAAGAACTTTCAAGACAACTGGTGCAGTGGGATGGGACCTCTGGTTAAAGTTTATTCAAGTTTGGAAGTCTTGCTTATCCTTTGGTTACATGAGGAAAGGCCTGTGGCAATTTTCTTTTCTTCAGTTCTATTGCATCCCATCTTATCCTTATTATATCATAAAAATCATATACATCATCACTATAATACTTGCTAAGTTAAATACTTTTCAAAACACATTTACAAACAGAGTTAGTAGATCTACTGTTTGTTTTAAGTCAACCCACACATATAATATTTTCATAGCAATATTTGCTGTGTCATTTTCATTTTTCAAAAAATTTTCATCCAAAAAACTGAAATCAGTTTATCTCTCAAGATGATCAGCACTCTTTAATTATTCAGATTTCGCTTAAAAATCAAAACAAAAACCAAACAAGCCTAAACCGGTTTTGTATCACAACAACAATCACAACAACAACAACAGCTAACACACTACCAATAACAACTAACACACTACCAACAACAACTAACACACTATTAACAACTATAACAACAAACAATGTTACGTATACTTTATCATCTATAGTAACCGACAAGTTGGAGAGATAGGACAATGAGCCTATCTGGAAGCTTCCAAGAAGAAATAGTAGTTTTCTACTTATACATTATAGTCTGCTTGACATAGTTATAGTTATAGTTACTTTTATTTTAATTTTTAATTTTTTAAAAAATTAAAAGAATTTGCAAAATTTCCTAGGATGGTAGACATAGCCACTACTTAGCCTTATCTAATACATTAATATTGATTTTGAATTTTTTTACAATATTAATTAGATATTGTAAAAGTAAGCAAGCTAGCATTTATCTTGTTATATACAATGCATCCAAGAGATGTTATTTCTTTCATAATGTATACCTTGTTATATACAATATCAAATAAAGAAATAATGTTTACCTACTGGGGAAACCCCCCCAAAAAATGAAAAGAACCCCAAGAAAGATTTATAAAGAAGTAACTGTTATGGGCCTTTCCTCATGCAATCCAAAAAAAGAGCAAGGTTTCCAAACTTGCTTTTCTTTGGTCAAAGGTCCCATCCCAATGCATCAATATACTTCTTTAATTTTCTTGAGGTTCTTGTAGTGAAAATAAAGAATGTGTAAAGGACTTTGGAAGTTGAAAGATAGAAAAATATTTGTTTCTTTAATTTTGAAAGATAATTACTAAAAAAGAAAATTTTTAAGAAAAAAGTTGTATATGTGAAAAAGTTTTTTTCCCTAGCTATAAATATATATACAGTATTATAAATAATTAAAAATATATAATATTGTTTGTGTAAAAATTTAACAAGTCTATTATTTGAACTTGCTTTATATTAGGGTTTCTAATAATATCATTTTGATATTAAGTTGATACCAAATTTATTATAAGTCAATATTATTTCAATACTTATTTAAAATCTTATTTTATACTATATAATAATAAATTATATCTTTTACTCAAAAAAGATATACTGTATAAATTTAATTTGAACTGTCAAATAATAATATAAATCAATTAATAAATCCAGTATCAAGGATAAACAAAACTTTTAAACTTAAGTAAACTTTGATCAGAAATTCTATTTATAGTTCTGAAAATAGAAATCAAACAAATTTACATAAACTTATATAAACTTGTATAAAATTTAGAATATTATTAAAAATAATAATAGGTTATAATTCATATATTAAATTTAATATAAATTTAAGAATCAATAATTAAATTAAATTAAATTGTTAGAATCCTTAGTTTCATATTACTATATTTATTATCTTAAAAGTTCTTAAGTTTTTAAACTAGAGCTTATTTGTAATTAAAAAAAATATAAAATATTTTTTTTGCTTAAAATTATTATAAAAGAAAAAATTTTAATAAAAACAAATATAATTAAAAGAGTTTTTTATAATTTTGAATTAATTTTTTTTTTTTTAATTAACTAAGGGCATTAAATGTGAGACATTTATTAAACATTCGTTTATAGTTATTATATTAAATATCTTTATAAAGTAGGCT